CCCTGGTTGAAGAATAGTTCCTTCTGAACCAGTCGTAAAAGCAGCCGAGGCGTAATCTCGCATGCTTGGTCACAAAGTGCAAGTTACCATATGATCCAGGAGCTGCAAACAGTTCCTTACTGCAATACATAGACTTCTCTGAATTGTCCTGACCAGATTAGACAAAGTTATGAATCTGACTGTGGGAAGAAAGGCCCTGGCTGTCAACGAGTCCAAATATGCCCCTATGAATTGTATTCCCTGTATAAGGGCTAACTTGGACTTCTTTGTATTTAGCTGGAGAGCCAACTCCTAGAAGAAAGAGAGCTGTCTGGATGGAAGTTAGTGTTGCTCTGTAAGAACAGCCCTTGGGTAGCCAGTCATCATGGGAACGGGATATGGAAAGACTAAAACTGCATGCAGCAGTGGAACAGGGTGGAAAATGCTGTGGTACTGGGAAGCACTGGTAATCCAAAGACTGGGGTCTTGGTACAAGAGAGTCATTCAGTACCTATAAGCAGTGGGGATTCCGGCTTGTCTAACATTGACTAGTCTCTGGCGTAATGGAATTCCTGCAGTACCGAGTGGGTCAGTAACAACGTGCCAGTTGATCTGGGTGGCACTGGAGTGCATAGGCTCGAGGGCCGAAGATGCATGCCTCGATTTTGTTGGTACCGACAAAGCCCAGTGAGAAGGCACCATTGATAAGTTTGAAATAGATGGCTGCGATCTGCAGATGGAAGGTACCTGGGCCCTGCCAGCACCATGCATCTCTGAGGTTCTCGGATATCTCCCTGCTCCACTGGTACTGGAGGAAGAGTCTTCTGCCTCCACAGTACTGAGTCAAGAGGTCAGAACTTCCGACCCCGTAGAATTAGCAGGAGATTGGGACTTCTTGGGAGCTGGTTCCTTGCGGTGGAAGTCTGAGCTCCTCTTCTTTGGAGCATTCCCTGAGTCCTTTGAGATCTTCCCCCTTTTAGGTGAGACCTTAGCTGAGGTTGAAGGAGCACTGGATCTGTCCAGACACAGATATATGGGGTTAGAGGGGGTCTCCTGACCTGACTCAGGAGCAGATTGAAGGGAAAATTCCATCAGCAGCAGCTTCAGTTTGGTCTCCCAGTTTTCCCAACTCTAGATTTTAGAGCCAGGCAAAAGTTACATTTTTGGGAGATATGAGATTCTTCCAAGCAATGTACACATTTAGCTTGGGTGTCAATGATTGGGATAGCCTCCTGACTAGCGAGGAAGCGTTTAAAACCTGGTGAGGCATGCATGCATGCCCAGCCAGGCCAAATAAGCTCCCCAGAAAACCTGGGGGAGAAAAAAGGGGGAGAGGAAAAAACTGAAAATTTTCACTACCATCTCACTAATTCTGTGCTAACAACTAACACTAATTAGAACATTAAAACTAACTTAAACAACAACAACAACAAAACACGTTGCAGCGTGCATAAGGCAGACATACTAGATCTCTCTACTATCTTGGCTTGTGACAGAAGGAACTGCGGGCAATTTGCCTGTCCAGCCTTATATACCCTTGGTTCGTATAGAGCACATGCACGGGCTGAACAGACACTGCTGATGAAGAATCTATGATCAAGGGCTCAAGAAGCGCATGCACACCTGAAATAACTTGAAGCGGAGCACCCACAGGGACACTACTCGAAGAAATATCATCAGGTCCTGCAGGACCTTGCTCCTTTGGACTCTTTCCATTAAGCGATTGACTGTATGGATTATAGGGGCTGTCAAGGTTCCTTCCCCACTCTGAACTCTAGGGTACAGATGTGGGGACCTGCATGAAAACCCCCTAAGCTTATTTTTACCAGCTTAGGTTAAAACTTTCCCAAGGTACAAACTATTTTACCTTACGCCCTTGGACTTTATTGCTGCCACCACCAAGTGTCTAACAAATATATAACAAGGAAAGAGCCCGCTTGGAAACGTCTTTCTGCCCCAAATCCTCCCAAACCAAACACCCCCTTTCCTGGGGAAGGCTTGATAAAAATCCTCACCAGTTTGCATAGGTGAACACAGACCCAAACCCTTGGATCTTAAGGACAATGAAAAAGCAATCAGGTTCTTAAAAGAAGAATTTTAATAGAAGTAAAAGAATCACCTCTGTAAAATCAGGATGGTAAATACCTTACAGGGTAATTAGATTCAAAACATAGAGAATCTCTCTAGGCAAAACCTTAAGTTACAAAAAGACACAAAAACAGGAATATACATTCCATTCAGCACAACTTATTTTATCAGCCATTTAAACAAAACAGAATCTAATGCATATCTAACTAAATTGCTTATTAGCCCTTTACAGGAGTTCTATGCATTCCTGCTCTGGTCCCGGCAAAAGCAACACACAGACAGACAAACCCTTTGTCGTCCCCCCCCTCCAGATTTGAAAGTATCTTGTCTCCTCATTGGTCATTTTGGTCAGGTGCCAGAGAGGTTATCTTAGCTTCTTAACCCTTTACAAGTGAAAGGGTTTTGCCTCTGGCCAGGAGGGATTTTATAGCACTGTATAGAGAAAGGTGGTTACCCTTCCCTTTATATTTATGACAGGGGCCATGCCCCAAACTGAAGAGACATAGGTAGGAAGTAAGTAGCCCGGGGCAGCAGACTTAGACTCACTGCAGGGAGGATCCCGCTATTGGTTGCTCTGCACAGGGCCATGGGCTGGGTCCCAGTGGAGATAGGAGGAGCCAGGCCTCGCTACCATACCCTCTTAAGGGCAAAGCCTAGATGCAGGTGGCGAGGAGAAAGTTCCTGGCTTAGGGTCAGGAAGAGGCACTTACCACCCTGACACAGAGGCAAGGTCTCAAAAGTTGGGTGTGCTAATCACTATGCCGCCCAGCCCTCTGAGCACCCTATCACAGTGTCCAATCATTACTCTTCAAATTTGCCCAATTTCTGCCCTCTCACTCTCTCTCCAGTTAATATATTCCAAAGCAAAACTGGTATTTAAAATACATTATGCTGCAGTGTGGCTGAGTGGATAGAGCACAGGACTGGGACTCAGAAGACTAGGGTTTTATTCCCAGCTCTGCCATTGGCCTGCTGGGTAACCTTGGACAACTTACTTCACCTTCGTGCCTGGGTTTCCCCATATGTAAAATGAGGATACTCATACTTACCTCCTTTTAAAGCATTTTGCAATCTACTGATTAAAAGCACTATATAAGAGCTAGATGTTATTACTGTATCATCGTCATGGGATGGTTCTGTATTTTTAAGTCCTAGGCTTAGGTCATAATAGCTACTTCTAAGGTTTTGGCAGCAGGTAAGCCAGCCTGCTTCCCAGCAGGTTCCCACAGGGTACTCAGATATGACGGATTCTTATGACCTGTATCCTTGGTCTAAAAGGGAACAAATAAACCAACCAACAAAAATACCCTATGGAAGCCCCAGCATTAGCACATCTAAGCATGGAAACACTCTAAACACCATATCTAACTAGTGAGCAGGGAATCTCAAAAGGTTTACAGACTGTATGCTTATCTGAATCATTGGAGAACCTAATCGTGACATGAGAGACAGAAAAAATAAAAAACAAACAAAAAATCAAATCCCCTCACCAAAGAAATCCAACAAACTTTTTTCTAACCTGGACCCCTTGAGACATGTTCAGTCAATCATAGAAACAGAACCAATACCATGTGATTGGTTGTGACCAATCTATTCAGCTCAAAATTTAACAGAGAATGCAAAAATAAATAAATAAATAAATAAAAGCCCATCCCATTTTTGCACCTTGAAAAGGATTTAGAGTTTTTTAAAAACTACTCCCCAGATTGCACGGATTTCAACAATTTGAAAATACATTTTGACATAAAATAACTCTCATGACAAACACCTGACCCAGTTCAACTTAGTCTTGAAAAAGTCCTACTACTGATTTTTCTTCTAAAACTAAAATCTGACTTCCCAGAAGGACATGGTAGAACGCTAAAATCAGACTATATAACTGGATATAAATGAAAAGGCCATGGGACAGTGTTTCTCAAAATTGTGATGGGCAAAAGACTGCTAAGCGAGAAGAAATGTATGCAGTGTAGTTGTAGCCATATTTAAAAGATCTACACAGTGAACGTAAAAATTCACATAATAATCATTACACCATACCTTTCATCTAGAGGAACTGGCTCACAGCATGCTTTATAGATTATATGTCATTCACCATCTTCTATCTTCAGCTGTTGAGCAATGTTTCTAGGGCTCTTGAATAACAACTCCACCCCAGAGAAGGCTGTTTCAAATGTACACGGAGGTGTTTGAGATTTTATGACAAACATGTCAGTGCAGCATACAACTGCCCGCAGTGTTACTTATCAGTTCAGGACAGATGGTCATCTTCTCAGAACTGAGGGGGATTTAGGTAGGTACAATGTAATTACTTAAGCTGAAATATGGCCAGCACAAAGAGGGTTACACCTTTGCTTTTGTGCTAAGTGCCATGGGATCTTTGAAGACCTCAATTGCTCAGGTGTTTAATTTTGCATCTCATCTGAAAGATGAGCTTCCAACAGTTCAATATCTCTTACCCCATACTTGGCCACAAAACTTAGACTGAGAAGAAAGAGTATTACTGTCCATCCAGTTAGCAACACCATTTCCAGCAAGATTTCCTTGGCGGTCTCCCATACAAGTACGGACTAGGCCCACCCTTGTTTCACTCATGAGGTCAGAAGAGCTCACAGCTCAGGATGTTATGGTTATGAAATTACTTGCAGATGCTCAATTTAAGTTATAAATGTACCTAAAAGAACCCTCTGCACACTACTAAGTAAAATGTGATCAGCTGAAATGGGCAAACTGTGAAGGAAAAGCTTCAGTGACAGATTTTCCCTTCCCTTTTCTGATTCTGCTTCCAAGGCAATCATTTTGTCAATAGTTGTCAGTTATCATTTTCCTTTCCAAAATTAAAAAAAAGTCATAAAATTGTCTCTGAATACAAGAGAACCTTGGTTGGAATTTTCAAAAAGGAACAAAGATCCTTAAAACAAGAAAATGGGTATTACCTGGGGAACTTCATCTATAGTAGCGACATTTTGAAGTACGGGTGCAAATAGGTGTACAACAGTCCACTTCAGCTAGTGAGGAGGGAAAAAACAAACAGAGCAACATCTCAACCACACCTCAGCAGCAAGATTGCAATTCCTAAACTCTAACCCACGTCTACATAGCTGAATAATTCTGGATATGTTAAAACAACTACTTGCCATTACCGATTTCATACAGGTTTTATAGCACCTTATGAACAATGTAGTGACCATTTCTCAACTCAGGTCAGTAGGATTCTATTCCAACTGAGAGATCAGTAAGAAGCTAATGATGTTTACTAATAGCCCTTAAAGCTAATAGCTCATTTCAGTTAAACATAAGAGTAATAATCTCTTTATGGCCTTTCCTGTCTTTCCTGTAAAAATAGCTGAAGTTTAACAGAAAAGACTATTGTGAAATAGTTTTCAATTAAATTAAATCTTGACAATCACATTAACATGCATCTACTCAACTCCCCAGTAATGTATTCAATATACATTACTGACTTCTAAGGATTTAAATCAGAAATGTTGGACACAAGCCTTTTACCAGCCTTTCAACAAACTCTGTAAAAGGAAGTTTTGCCACTAACTTCCCCAGTTGCAGGCCTTGAATCCACATTTACAGAGGAACTACACTTTAGCCAGTTCCAAAAAAAACCTTCTGTAAAGATCCAGAAGGATCTCGCTCTGCTTTCCACCACCCATGGAGTTCTAACTCCAAAGCATTAGCCCAAAAAACTCACCCTATGACAAAGGAAGTTATTATTTTATTTTGAAAGTTAAACAAGCACTGAGCTGGAGTAACAAAACCACATCTTTACCTTGAGTACCAATAGCGGGATACAGGAAGTTGGGAAATTTCCAACTTGAAATGTTTCCTTCAGCATTTATATGGATAATTAAGGAAATCTACATTTATATTAGCTAGGAGAACACAATCAGGGTATAAGCCAAACACTAACTACCAGGGGTTTGGAAGAGGCGTCCATTAAAGGCATGCTAGTGCATAATTACAGGGTTTGAGTTACGAAGCCTAGAGTCTCTTTCTTTCCTCTGCAGTGGTTCACAGAATCCCTGTTTTAAAGAAACAGATTTTCTCCAGACTAACTTTAATATCACACGCTCTAGTAACTCACCAATAAGAGAAAAAGTAATCAACCCTTCTGACTAAATAGCATCAAGAAAATGTATAGAAGGAGCTTTCTTAATATGGAAGTAGCAGAGCCTGCTGCCAAAGAGGAAAAACAGGTTTAGAAACAGACCTGGGACTCTCACTCCTGGGACTGCAAAAGGATAAACAGATCCCACAAGTAGGCACCAGACATGATTGCAGCTAATTCGTATGACCCACACTGGAGGGTCATCAACTCATACTTAGTGCTTGTTTGCTAGGGAGTAAAACAGACTCCTTATCTTCCAGGTTGGAGAGTGTGATGTTACCACATGGAATAGGCTGATTCCATACAGAAGAGGAATGGAGCGAAAAAGTATTCCAAAATGAAGGAGACCACAGATCAACCACTTACAGCTAGAACTGGAAGAAACACCATGTGCTACAGGCAGCAAATGTGAGACTCTAGTAAACCTCCTAGGAGAGGATGTTCCACAACCAAGCAGGACTAGCTTCCAGCCTGGACCTTCAGACAGAAAGCAGACTCACGCCACCCAACCTGCCCCCAAATGCTTGCTGAGATACAGACCATAAGGGTTAAAATCTGTTGATTTTTTTTTTAAAAGAGATGTTATTAAGCATGTAGGGCAAAATTCAGAGGCAACAAACTATGGGGTAAGTTACCCATACTGACTTAGATAATTAATATTTACTTACGGGCTAAGTAGATGTAATTCATACAGCAAAGTGATAGAAGGGGGCAGAGGGGTTGTAGCCGGAGAGCATAAGAAGATAGCCACGGCTTTCTTTGTTCCATCCTTTCTTACACCCTCTTGCTGGTTGCTCTTCCTGCTACAACCCTGCCCTTCTAGACCTTTACCATGTAAATTATGCCCACATAACCCATTTGTAATTTACATCTCATCAGAATTTGGCCTTTCCTGAACATTTAATCCTAACCTGTGAAATTTCCCTCTCCTGGGTTTGTTCCATTATATGAATATTCTTTTGATCTGTTTTTTGGACAGTAAAAGTTTAAAAACATCTAGGAATGCTTTGAAATTTGTAGATGACCCAAAATGCAAACATACAGTACATTTTTGACTATTATATTGATACGTAATAAAATCTTTGGCTTGGATGGAGGCACAGTAAGACTAAATAGAATTGTTGTGTATGGCACAAGGACATAATATGCTAGAAAAGAAAGATTGTCAAGTGGTTCAGTCATTAGAATCCAATCAATCAGTCTCCTACTTTTTTGGTGTTATGTTTCACTCTACACAAAGAAAAACAGATGCTTTAAGTCTTCTTTTCCCTCAGATCACAACAAGAAAACAATAAAGAACAAAAGTAAAGTCTCCAGGAGAGTGCCTAGGGTGTGTCTCTCCCCACTGTAATAGTCCATTCTGTGCGGACTACAATATCGCTGCCAGTCAATGCCAAAAGCAGAGCCCATGAAAATTTAAAGATGAAGTACACAAGAGTCAAAACACTCACTTAACTGCATACCCATCATACTATTTAGCGCAAAAAATGAACAGCAGCAGAAGCTATCACACTACAAGCTCACTAATAATACCATCACACCCTGCACACAATACACCCTGCTGTCTTTAATTCTTATGCAGAATGGATGGCTGAAATTTGTATTTTGCTGACGTTAGACCACAGCGATCCCCAGTCTTGTGCGGCTGATTGTTTAAATGATTAATACAACAATAAAGGAACAAAGGGGCCAGGAATTCCTTGTGCAGTCAATACTCACAATATTCATGGAAATTTTGGTGCAGAAAGTACACAGAATGAGGCCCCATGTGGTAATTTGATAAAGAACTGTTATTATTAGTCAGAAAGGGTTGGGATAATTTCCTATGAAAACAAGGTTCTGACATTACCTGTTCCTCTCTCTCTTTTTCTTTGGTCTTGCTCCTAGAGACTCTGGAAGAGGTGACATCCCGAGCTGGAATTACAGAGATCTGATGCAGTGGCATGTTCATCACACCGTCCTGTTTGGTCCTCTCATTTAAAGGAAGGAGTCTTTGATGCAGGACTCATTTAGTGCCATTGCTGGGCGTTACACCTAAAGAAAGAATGAAAAGCGTTAGCATTGTTTGGAATTCAATTATTCTGATTATTATTTAACCATACAAGTTAAACAACAAATCAGACTAACACTTCATATCTGCTCTTTGGATAACAGAACAGAAGTAAGCTTTCACACACTGGCTGGATCAGGAATTGAAACTCTGAGGCAGACATGTTCACACCTAGAACAGAGATTCCAATCCACACCCAGGATGGAGAGGGAACTGGGGTTATGGAGCTTTTCATGGGCAATCTTAATTCTGGCATTTCCTAACTTTTGAGTGCTTTACTTGGCTATCTTAATAATGTTGCCCAGTCTCCTTGCTGAGCCAGAACCAGTTTCCGCTTCTTACTTCCCCCTACTCTAATCTGGCTCCCAATTCCAGTCTCCTCCCTCTGGCTCCTTATCCAATCTAAATCCCAACTCAGGCTCCTTGTCCCAGTCTCCCCCTCTTCCCAGCTCCTTGTTCTAGTCTCTTCACTCAGCAGTCTCAGTTCTCCCATCACCCCTTGCTCCTTGTCAGATCTGTCTCCCATTCTCCTCCCCATCAGGTTCCTAGTCCCAGTCTCTTGGTCCAGCCAGTCCCCAGTTTCTCCCCCACCCCTCTTCCTAGCTCCTCAGTTGATCTCAGTATTTCCCCTCCCAGACAACTGGCTCCCAGTCATTCCCCATTTCCCTCTCCAAATTTCAAGTCCTTGCTCCAAAGAAAGGGGGTTAAATCAGCTTAACTGCATGTCTCCGGGGTGTGGATATTTTACACCCCCTGAGTAACTTTTCAGTGTAGTGCAGCCCTAAGCATGCAAAGTTTTAGCCCACAATGTGGAAATAGGATGTTATGACTGAAACTGTTATGCAGACTTAACTATAATGAATGCAGCTGTGAATAGCAATTAAGGTGCTCGGACACTATGGTGATGAGTGAATGCTGTATACAGAATAGAACTGAGCAAGTTGGTGGCCTCTGTCCAGTTCCTAATGGACAAAGCACCACAATTGCTACCAAAGAGATCAAAACAGGAATGACTCAGAGACTAAACTACCTTTCCCCACTACCTGAGGTAGTCACTCCAGATCAGGGAAAGGAAGTTTGCACTGTCACTGATTGTGTTGCACTTGCTGTGTCGATATGAAAGCAGGATTTCCATTTCCAGGGCTGTACTGTAATTCCCGTGCTACAGCTGCTCAAAACATACCAATTCTTTTTCATAGGAAATTACAAACAAAATTATCCTGGAAATTTCCCCATGAAGATATTTCTGGCTTTTGCATTGAAAAAAAACAAAACAAACAATTGAAAATTTATACTTATCTAGATAGGTTTTTAAAAACCAATTGGGGGGTGTTGGTAAACATTTTCAGTGTCTGAGAAAAGCCAAGTAGGTGAGGGAATAGCTTTTATTATTGGTGGAAGAGACACGCTTTGAAGTTTACACAGAGCTCTTCTTCAGTTTTAGTTTTCTCATCAGAACCACACCCCAAGAAAACACTGACCAACAAGAAAAGACTCTATTGTTCAAAAAGCCATTTTTAAGTTAAATTTTTTAAAGATTATATACTTCAAACAGCTCTGTCCAACACCTTTCATGTCCACAAAGAAACAAAAATGATACATTTATACAGAAGTGAGCTTTGTAACTTCTCTTGGCATTTGTAGAAATAATATTCATACATTAGCAGTGGGAAGAAATCTCTTGAAAGAAGAGTCAAACACAAGAATACTATGAAGCATGGGGATTGCTATTTTTATTGCAGTAGTGCCTAGCACCCTGAGCCACCAATCAGAAACCCATTGTGTTAGGTACTGTACACACATACATCCTTCTTTCACTAGCATAACTTTCAACCAAAACAAAGAGTTATCAGTATTACAAGTAGACAATCAAGAGAGCAATAGTTTGCCTCGTGTTTAAGATTCCAGAAACACATTTTGCGAAATTAGCAATATTGATCTGAAAAGCAAAAAGTAATTAGCAACACCTTTTATTAGATTAGCAAGTTTCTATTAAATGAAAAATTTAGAAATACTTCAGGTCACAGAGTGTTTAGTTTGAACCTACCCTGCAACAAATTAAGCACAATCAATGGTATTTAAAGGAAGGGATTAGAGAGGAATTAACACAACAGGGGCTGCATTAAATAAGACTACATGAATCAAGATATATTATGGAAACAAAAGAAAACTACAACTTTGGGTTTGTTTTTTTTAAAACTCTGTGACAGCTGAAAATGGAGGTGTGCAGATAGGGGTCCAATATATTATAGAGCTCATCCACATGGAAGTGGTATAACCCAGTATTCAGTATCTTTGCTTAACACATATTGTACAAATATATTAAGAAATAATGTTTAATTGAACATTTTAAAGAAAGGCCAGGCTTCCAAGGACTTCTAATTCTGCATAGGACTGATTCTGTTCCCATTAAAGTTAGTTGGAGCTTTGCCACTGACTAGAATGGGAGCAGGATCTGCCTTTAACCCTCACAATGTCAATGAAGGTAGTTAACTACTGCTACATACTTTTGTAGCTCTTTTCAGCTGTAAATCCCCAGGCACTATATAAAGGGGTTGATGTCCTCAATATCCTCATTTTACAGATGGAGAAACTGAGGTACAGAAAATGAAGAGACTTAACCAAGGTCATACAAAAAGCCAGTAGCAGAGCCAGGAATAGAACCCGAGTTTCTTGTGGTCTATCTGCTGGATCATTCTGCCTGCCCACATATGGGGCCAAGTTGACCTCAATGGAGATACAGGTATACACCAGTGTGGGGATCTGGCCCATAGCATATATAGAAGAATGCTAACAATTATAAGGCATATCAAAACCACTGAAGATAATGCATGCATAGCATTTAGATGTCAAGCACGTGGAAAAGAAAAAAAAGTATCCTCTATGTTTATTCCTCTCAGATGAATGAAGAGCAAATTTTTCAGACGGGGTATTTCCTTCGTTGTAGAGGGTTTGGGGAGAAGGTGAGTGCATGTGGGACTTATCAGTAATAGTTAATCCAAGTCAGAGCACAAATAAAATGTGACGCATGCCCATGTGTCCGACACGAACCTGTTTAGCCTCATTTTCCAAAAGGTATCGCCAGATGATAAAAGCCGGACAGTATATAACCACAGGAGGAGTGAGACAAGACTATCAAACTGCGGTAAACAAACTAAGAGTGGAAGTTACTTTTCCCAAGTGCACAAAGGAAATGAAGCATAATAGTTGATCTACTAATGAAAATATGTACAGTAAATTGCCCTCCCTATGCTATTAATGCTGAGGATTAGAGGGGGATCAGTGCTGTGCCCATCTCTAAAGTTAGAGCAGGCAGCATGTAGAGTACAGATAGTGCCCAGCTAGCATGGGTATAAATAGCAATGTAGATGGTGAGGCATGATTTAGGTGGGTAGAGTAGAGTACCCTACACACCTGCACCCCCAGGATATATATATCCTACAGGGGCTCTCTCCATGCAGTGCCTCCCTGGTCAACACTGCTATTTTTAGCAGTGTAGTGTCCCTCTGCTGGAGCTTTTCTCCCACACAATGAAAGGCTCTAGCAGCTCCCCTCCTGCCAGGGTCTCCTCCTCCTCCCCACTATTCACTGCTGTCAGAGCCTTTTATTGCAGAGTGTAGCAACACACGGGCACCGCAATGACAAGTGTGGATATAGCCTGCCTTTCCTAGTGGCATGTAGCTACTTGTGCATTGCCTGTTCTCTACATCATAAGAGTATCAGGGTTGGAAGGGACCTCAGGAGGTCATCCGGTCCAATCCCCTGCTCAAAGCAGGACCAATCCCCAACAATCCCCCTTATCATGATAAGTGTAGACATAGCCTAAGGGGGAGCCTGCAATTTACAGGCTGTTGAGCCTTATGGCTACACTGGGAACAACAGGTTTCAGAGTAACAGCCGTGTTAGTCTGTATTCGCAAAAAGAAAAGGAGAACTTGTTGCACCTTAGAGACTAACCAATTTATTTGAGCATAAGCTTTCGTGAGCTACAGCTCACTTCATCGGATGCATGCTATGGAAAGTGTAGAAGATCTTGTTATATACACACAAAAAGCATGAAAAAATACCTCCTCCCACCCCACTCTCCTGCTGGTAATAGCTTATCCAAAGTGACCACTCTCCTTACATTGTGTATGATAATCAAGGTGGGCCATTTCCAGCACAAATCCAGGTTTTCTCACTCCAACCCCTCAGACAGAGACAAACACCTACAAGATCTCTATCAAGCATTCTTACAACTACAATACCCACCTGAGGAAGTGAAGAAACAGATTGATAGAGCCAGAAGGTTCCCAGAAGTCACCTACTACAGGACAGGTCTAACAAAGAAAATAACAGAACGCCACTAGCCGTCACCTTCAGCGCCCAACTAAAACCCCTCCAACGCATTATTAAGGATCTACAACCTATCCTGAAGGATGACCCAACACTCTCACAAATCTTGGGAGACAGGCCAGTCCTTGCCTACAGACAGCCCCCCAACCTGAATCAAATACTCACCAGCAACCACATACCACACAACAGAACCACTAACCCAGGAACCTATCCTTGCAACAAAGCCCGTTGCCAACTGTGCCCACATAGCTATTCAGGGGACACCATCACAGGGCCTAATAACATCAGCCACACTATCAGAGGCTCGTTCACCTGCACATCCACCAATGTGATATATGCCATCATGTGCCAGCAATGCCCCTCTGCCATGTACATTGGTCAAACTGGACAGTCTCTACGTAAAAGAATAAATGGACACAAATCAGATGTCAAGAATTATAACATCCATAAACCAGTCGGAGAACACTTCAATCTCTCTGGTCACGCGATTACAGACATGAAAGTCGCTATTTGACAACAAAAAAACTTCAAATCCAGACTTCAGCGAGAAACTGCTGAATTGGAATTCATTTGCAAATTGGATACAATTAACTTAGGCTTGAATAGAGACTGGGAGTGGCTTAGTCATTATGCAAGGTAGCCTATTTCCC